GCCTGGAAGCTACGCTATGGCCAGAAACCATTAAAGAAATAAATTCCCTGCCATCGAGTCACTTGGCGACCCTAGAGACAAGGGCCTGACTGCCTCTCCAGTTTCCGAGGCTGTCCCTGTTAACGGGAGAAGAAAGCCTCACCCTTATCCTGTGGAGCGTCTGGTGGATTCACACTGCAGACCTTGTGGGTTGCAGCCCAGTGAATACTCACTACACCCCCAGGACTCCATCCTCAGAGTGTTCCTTAAAGGCAAGGATGGAGAGACTCTGTCTTACAGACTTGGGCCACGTTGTTGGGAGCGCCCAGTCCCTGGAGAAGGACAGCGTGCTTGTGGAGGCCAGTGGAGGAGAGAAGGCCCTGAAGGAGATGGGCTGACACCGTGGCCGTAACAATGGCCTTGGGCCTAGGAGCAAACGAGGATGGCGCAGGACCGCGGTGTTTCCTTCTGCTATTCAGAGAGTTGTTATGGGTCAGAACTGACTCGATGGCACCTAAGGACAACAGTGAGGTTGTGACTCCCATGAGGCCCACCTGCCCCGGGTCGCCATCCTGTGACAGCGATGGAGTAGAGAACCGGGCCCAGCCTCTTCCCACCCTGCCAAGCAAAAGACCCTCCCATGAAGACTCCCCGGGCTGCAGCCTGAACCTGAAGGAGGACCTAGGACTAGACCCACCCGTACAAGCAAAGAAGCAGAGACACAGGGACTTTCTGGGTTTTATTCAGAACAACGCTGGTGGCGGGTGCCACTGTGTCCCTCTAGGCCGAGGCCCGGGGGCTGGCGGGTGCCAGTGCCATCCGCTCTAGAAGGGAGGCTCTCTCACACCAGAGAAACTGTACAGTGACTGGGGAGCAAAGGCCACAGCAGGGCCGGACCAGGGCTCCCCAAGGAGGCCGCCCCCTGGGGTCTGGCTCTGCCCGGACACCGATTATTGCACAAGGACAAGAAGAGCGAGTGTGTCGGGCTGCAGACGAGCCCGAGCAGCAGAAGGAGGGGCAGGGGACGACAGGCAGGCAGCTGGCATGGGCACACTTGACCTTGGGGGGCTGCTTTGCAGAAGGCCAGGACAGGGACAGGAAGAGGGTTGAGCCAGGGGCAGGCCGTGGCCCCCTCTGACTGTGCAGCTGTTATGAGTGTCCTCCAGCCACCCCTGCAAGCAGTTGGCTCAGGGTCCCTTGCCCTCGGCTGGGCCCACGTAGGTTAGAGGACGTTTGTGCTTTTGTGATGGACAGGCTGGGAGCTGAGGCCACAGCCCCGATTCACCCAAGCCCTAATCCCTCTGGTTTATCGTAGCCAGGCACTCCACTGCCCTGGTCCCCTGATGCCCACAGGGATAAAGTCAGCCACTGGAGTTCTAAGACCTCAGCAACCAAGTCCAGCTCCCACTGTGACTGTCCCCTCCTTGTACCCTGTTGCTGACCGTGGGGGGAGGGGCAGCAGTGCACACCGGACGACTGCTGGGAAGATGGAACAAGATGGCGGTGGGGAGGGGGGTGCGCCTGAGCCTGGCATATGATCTCCCTGATGCCTGGCCACTCTGTGAGGGGTCTCCCTGAGTCACAGACCCCCTCAGGGCTCCAGCACCCATCCCAGGTGGACTTGCCCACCAAGACAGGTGACTTCTCCAGCGCCAGCCCCTCCCGGCCTGTGAATGTTCAGGGCAAACCCCCTTCACCCCGAGATAAAACGCCACCGTCTCTCCTGCCTCCTTCCCCCCCTTCCCCAATAACAAACAGAACAATCGCAGAGGGGGAGGCAGGGAGCAAACCACTCAGGAGTGTGGGGGCCGCTGGTCTAGCAGCCATGGGCCCGGGTCCAGCTCCACATCAGTCACTGGAGCCCCACGGGCAGCCTGCAGCCTGGAGGACTTCCAGGGGCCTCAGCTCAGGGGCCACAGTCTTAAGGAGGGACCAGGAAGCACCAGGGAACCCTCCAGGTGTCAGGCCTGGGGCTGAGCTGGCGGGCCCTGCTGTGCCCTCTGAACCGCAGGCCCCACCCCACCCCGGAGGCATTTCAGATTAGGGTATCTAAGGTCAGCACACTTTGGGATGCTGTAGGTGGGGTGGGTGCCTCTGTCCTCGCCGCCAGAGCCAAGGGCTCAGGCTGTGCCGGGTGAGGCTCACACAGGCTCAAGTCTTTCGCTTTGACAAGGTGCCCAGGCCCACAGGGTCTCTGCGTCTGTGTGGGGCTGGGGCTGAAAGACCCCCAGAGCCTGTCCAAGATGCTGCTCCAACACCACCCAAGAGCTGTAAGTTAGGGCCCTAGGGAGAGACCAACCAAAGCCTCCCGAGGCTCCGTGCTCACCTCCACCTGCAAACTCTTGGAGTCAGTGTTCCATCCCACCCCCTCCCTTCTAATGAATCGCGAAATAAACACTCAACGATTCGGATCAAGAGTACCCATTTGGGAAGCTCTGCTGTTATGAAGCCCGAGCAGCGGCTTTAGGGACAACAGGGAGGGTACAACGGAGAGGGGTAACCAGCGACGGGCAGACAGGGGTGTCGGGAGGATGGGGGGGTTCCAGTCCCCTGGCGCTGTTTAAAGTCCTTCCGATGCCAGTCACCCTGCTCTCCGGGAAGGGTTCTATGCACTGGGGGTAGGGGGTGGGGGGACACGGCAGGGGAGGGCGGAGCTGGCTTTCCTGCCCCAGCCTGTAAGGCAGTAAGTGACCACAAAGCCGGTCCCCTCCCCTCTCTCCCCTGCTGCCCTACCTCTGCCCTCAACCTTCCTGGGGGCCTGGCCCCTGCAGCCAGCAAGCTCAGAGGCCAGAGCCCCACCCCTTGCCCTCAGAGAAGTGCACCTACGCACCCTGGTTTTTCTAGAGGACAACTAACTGTTGACTAAGAGCGTTAGTGTGCTGGGGTGTCTACAAAAACTGTTCACAAAAACTAGACAGCCGGGAAGGACAAGACAGACACCCCGAGATATTGAGGGGGGCAGGGCGTGATGTGGGATCTTAGCAGCTTTTCTTCTTTTAAAGGAAAAAATAAAAGGGCACCCCGAATTTCACCTCTTCCTCTGGGCCTGTCTCCCAGGCCCAGGACCCCCCCGGGGACCTCAGCCCAGAGGGGGCAGGGCTCCAAATTCTCAGGATCTGCCCCAGCCAGGGTGACTGGACCTAGGGCGTGGGGGTGGATGGAAAACG